CTGGCACTAGCCCAATGAGTGGGTACTCAAAAAGTATTTACATGGATGGATGGATGGATGGATGGATGGATGAATAAATGGACAGATGGGCCCTATTGGAAATAGAATAAACAGGTCTGAGAGATTAAAAAAAAGAGTAGCACTTATTGAGTACTTACTATGTACCAAGCGTTATCTGAAAAATCCTCACAATTTGTATCCCCTCTTTAGAAATGAGAAAACTGAGAATTGGATGGTTCAGCACCTTAGCTAAGATCTCATAGCCAACAAGTTGATCGAGATGGGTTTGAAGTTACCTTCAGTCCGGCTCCAGAACCCACGTTTTTGAACCTGATGCTTTGCTAAGCTGCTCTCAAGTGGAGGAAGCCCCTATCTCAGTCCTTGGTGGGACCGATATTTTCTCTTCTGAGGATATACTGCATTGGGCAGAGAGCTTGGAATTCTATGAGTTCCAAGCGTCTGAGTGTGGCATAGAGCTTGGAATACAATGGTGCTGAACAAATTCTTGCTGGTTGCTGGAGAGATCCAGAGATAGGCCAAGCCTCACTTCTGACTCATCTCCACTTTTCTGCCGCCCCATAGAATCACCAAGCCAACAGTTTTCTAGGCAGATCCTCTGTGTTCTGAAGGGCACAATCCCCCAGACCCCTGTACCCATCCCACAGACTTTACCTTCTCAAACTCGCCAATGGGGGCAGGACAGCTGGTGGGGTCCTGGCACACACACATGGGGGTGTTGTTCTCATCCAGCTCGCACACCTTGCCATGTTTGCAGTGGTGGTTCTGACAGGGGTCTGATAGGGCGCAAGGGCATGGAGTTAGCATACCCGGGCTAGCATGTCCTCCCCAAGCCAATCCAGGTCAGTCCTTGGCTGTGGCCCCCACTCTGGGCTCTGGGCAGCCCTGAGTCCTGCCCGCTCTTCCGCTGAGCCTAGCAATCGGCATTTAAGGGAGCAGTTGGCTCAGTCTGGGGATCAGAGGTTCAGTCCGAGGTCAGGGTCAGGCACTTAGCGGGGTGGCTGGAAGCCCAGTCTGGGACCCAGAAACACTGGATCTATATGACTCCCCTGAGGATTGAAGTAACCGTTATGTCCCCAGCTCTCAGTTAAACAATCACAGTCAGGCATTTCTGGATTCTAGAATAGACCTTACAGAATGGCTCGGAAATCGTCAGCTGTTGTCCCAGAGCCAGGGAGCTATGAGGCCCAACAAAACAGACTTAAATGACTGTAAAGGAAAAGGGAGAAGAGCCTGAGGCCCCCAGTGGACAATAGAGACCAGCTGTGTGTGGTAAACTCCGGATGAGGTGGGTGTGGGGGCGGGAAGGAACAGGACTCAGCAGCTGCCATTCCACTCCAACAAAAACCCTGTACCCAGCTTGGTCTGCACACCAGTTGATTATCCCCTCAGGATGAGAGCCTGATCTAGCCTTTCCCTCCTAATGCTTAACTTTGGGTATTTTGATTATCCCTATTGGATGCCTCCTCTGCCTGGCATTGCGCCAAGCACTCCCATGCATAATTCTCCTGACGCCCTGGGGCGAGGGTCCATCATCTTCATCAGCTCCCCCCCTCCCCCATTAGAGGCGAGGAAGCTGAGCTCCAGGAGCTAAGCAAGCTTTCGTGGAGAAGCCTAGATTCAAACCTTGGATATTTTGCTTCCCAAGTCCATGCTCTTAACCCCTTGAGTACAAATGCCTCAGCACAAGGACTCCAGCCAGAGGCCCTAGGTCATTTCTCTCCTGGCACTAACTCCATGGCTAGCTTTATATGAGTTATGTGAGGTTTCCTTCTCTTGGGGCTTCATTTTCTTGGGCTGTGTGAAAATCAAATAAGCTAATGAGTGTGCAGTTCTAATCACTAATCTCATATCTGCTCCTGTGCCGGGCTTGGGCTGAGACAGAGGCCTTGAGGGATCTCAGTGACCAGTTGTGACCAGTGATCTCAGTAGGAATGTGAAACCCAACTTGGAATCAGGGCAAAGAGCTGTGAGGGGAGAAGGCCACCTCCAGCTGGGGGACTTCCCTTCCTGCTATGTACAGCATGGATGGCCCAGCTATAAATAGAGCTTTCCCAGATTCCGAGGGAATGAGTGCCAGAGAATATTCCCAGCCTTTATGTCAAAGCCGTTTCTTTTCCACAGCCCACTGAGGACCCCTCCCTGCATTTCCTTGGGAAGGAACCTCACGTAGGCTGTCCCCATGCCCCAGGCAGCCAAGGGCAGACTGGCTGTGCCACATCACAGGGAAGGGACCTACTTTCAGCCACCACCTCCTCTTCAGCTTCCTCAGCTCCTTCATCAAATTCTCCTACTTCCACCTGGACGGGGTTGGCTCCCACAGGTTCCTGAGATGGAGGGAGAAGGAGTCAAATACCCCCCCACACACACATCCCAGACATGGAAGAAAGGGGTAAAGATTGGAAGGGGCTTGCCTAAAGCTTCAGGTGCCCACAAGGGGATAGCGAGAGACAAGCTGGAAAGGTGGGCTGGGACCAGGTCACACAGAGGACAGATGCCAGGGTTGAGCATTTAGATGTTAATCTTATAAACCCACTGTGTGTTGTAGTGCCCTGGAATTCTGTTGAGATGCCGGACAGGCCACCAGAAGTGTTAGGGCAACAGAGGATGCCAAGCCCTCCACCCCTGCCAGCCACACCTGAGCAGCTCCCCTTCCATCTGTTTTATGTATGGGGGGACTGTGGGTGGTCATGGAAGAAAATTTTAAAAATTTTGAAAGGCTGGCTCCCAACTGTGTGGTTCCAGTGAATGTTTGGGAAGCATTCAGAAGTATGCCAGGATTTGGGGGATACTCAGGATTTAAATCTATGCTGTGTGTGCACACGGGAAGGGGACAAATGCTCCATTCCAGTGTGGGGACCCCCAGCAGCTGTCTGGATTCCCCAGGAACAGATGAGGGCCAAGAGGGGTCTGGGGTCACCACCCATGTACCTCGGTCACCTCTGCCACGGTTTCCTCCACCACCTCTGTCTCATCAGGCAGGGCTTCCTGCTGCTGGAAAGAAAAAGAGGGTTCAGAGAGGTCAGAGCCAAGGCCAGCCTCACGACTGCAATGCCTCTGGCCTGAAACAGGCTAGGGGAGCCTGAAGAGCAACTCATTGGAGATTCCCAAGATTGTGCCTCATGGACTGCCATGGATAGGGCAAAGGGGAAGCCAAACAGGTGGACCCCCAGAATTCCAGACAGCTCCCCTTTTATGCATTTTATATCTGAGGTGTCTATCTAGATCTTCCAAGATTTAGCTTGGAAAATTATCTGGAACAACTGATCCAAACTAAACCCCCTTCATCTTACAGATGAAAATACTGACACCCAGAGGGGATGGACACCATGAATTTTAACAGATGTCATTTTCTTCCCCAAAGCGATATTATTATTATTATCATCATTATCATTATTAGGCAATTCCTCATTGCCATTTCAACTTGGGTTAGAAAGAGGCAAAATAACCTATAACTTTAAGGCTCCTGGCTGGCTGGGGCTGCCTCTAAAATCTTTTGCCCAGATCTATCATCCTGGTCAAGCTCACCAGGGTCTACCACCACGCCCACCTCCTAGTGAAGAGAGAATGAGGGAATCACAGGTTGAAAGAAACTGCTCTTTTCAGCCAGATGGGCTCTCATTAAAGTTCATCTTCATGTTTCATAGAACTCTTTCTTCTCTGGAAACTCCAATGGTCCTCATCCCAGTTTTTCTCCTGAGCTTATTCATTTAAGAAAAAATCTTTTTAAGAAATAACGCAACTAATTTGAGATGGAGAAGACTCTGTCCCCTCTGAACATCCAGGGCTGGCAGGTTTAGGACCCCCAGAGCTGGTGGCTTGGAGAAAAGACCAAGAAGATATAATCTTTAGGTACTTACAGGGGCTGCCAAGGCCCTCCCAGCTAGGCAGAGGAGAAAGAAGATCCAGGCCCTCATGGTGCTGGGAACCCTGCAGGAAGGAGAGATTGAGATTTCAGTGTGTGTGTGTGTTGGGGGGGGTGGGGGTCCTGATGGAGATTTCCTTTGAGTTTCTTCTGAATTTCTGTGAAATGCAAGATAATTTTAGTTGACTAGACAAAGTTTTAAGTGACATTGAAAGAAATGAGAAGTCAGTTCCATTCGATATTCTTTCAATCCTGATTATATGAGGAGAAAGTCTCCGTTTGGTGCTGAGATGTCTTAATACCTCTCTAACACATCTATCTCCCCTTTTAACAACAAGAGAGCAGCCTTCTGGCTCAGAACCTCCACAGGAAACTACATCCAGCTGGAATTAATAAAGTTGTTTTGTTCTCTTTGGGTTTGTTTTTTTAGTTTCCTTCTATTTACAACAAAGGTACACAGTTTTCCATTTATGGTAATGATTAAGTCTTTTTTCTTGATACGTTTATTTAAGTTTCTCAAAAGTGATTCAATGAAGATAATGGGCTAATTAGTCAAGTTTAGGCAATGTTGAACTAAATCATCTTCAAAGGCCTTTCAATCCCTGATGTTCTAGCATTGTTTTTTTCCTACACCCCAACCTCTCCTCCTCTCCCTCCCTCTCTTCCTCTGCAATGGGGGAAGTTAATAGGCAGCAATCTCTTGCCAATTTGAGACAATGAGATCCACATTCTAAAACAAAGAATGATAGCCTTGGAGAGCTACACATGGAAACTTGAGGGTGGCTACATTTTTCTCCATACTACCCAGAAGGGACAGCACTTTTCTGGGTCCTCTGGGAAAGCTATCCATATGCTTCCATATGCTTCAGAGGGGATGTTAGCTGAGACCTAGAAAATTCCCCTGTTCTAGTCACTGCTGAGACCTTGCTCTTTAGATGCCAAGCTCTAGACTGTAATACTCTCATAACTGTAAGGGATTTTAGAGAAGAATCTCCTTTGATGAGTCAATACCAAAATGCCATCCCTAACAGAGGATCTGTGGTGGGGACATTTTATTTCTTGTGCTAACTACATAGATTTCCATTTCCAAATGGCTTTGGAAAGTTCTTCCTTATCTAAATCTGCCTCCCTCAAACTTCTACTGGTCATCTATTCTGTCCCTCTTTCTGTAGCCATATAGAACAAGCCTTCTCCTTCTGCCCACAAATAGCCTTTCAGTCAAGGGCAACAGTGGCCCTGTTTTTCCTCTTTTGTCTCCTAAAACTTCCACATTAGGGTCATCATCCCTAGTTCCTTCAAAGACTTCTCAACTGACAAGCACGGTGATGGGACATACCCTGACATTTTATGGAGTGTGCATGAAATAAAACTAACAGGAATTTGAAGGAGTTGTCCTGGGAGCTTGGCATTGCTTCACAATGGCCCCAACTCTCAGAGGAGTCTGGTCTTCTCTTTCCAGGTAGTTTTTGGAATATTCCTCCCTCTCACACAGTTATTCACTTGTTCCCCCAGGCTTAAGTGGAAAAATCTCCCTCCTCACTTCCCTATTTGGAAGACACAAGCAAAACAACTCCTGCATGTAGCTCTGGACAAATGCAACAGGGAAGAAAATATCAATGACGGACTTGTCTGAGATTGTTTGAAGTTGAAGGGTCCAAGTGAGACTGGCAGCTAGAACCAAAAAACAGTCACCCTGTTTGGACTCTAATGACAGAGAAGTCAGAGAAATGGCCCAGCAAGGACTGGACATGTGATAAACTTCAGTTTAGAGAGCCAGGGAGACCAATGCTTCCAAGTCTATGTGTGCCATCTGAGCAGAGGAGCTCCGCTCCACACTGTTGCCAGGAAAAAGTCTCTTCCGTCTCTGCCTCATCATCCTCTGCAGTCCTTTCCCAGCTGCACGCATGTTCTCTGTCCACCCCCCATCCCTGCTGTTGCAGCCAGAAGAGAAAAATCTTCTAAGTCTCTAAGTGGTGCTTTATAGTTTGTAAAGCACTCTCACAGATATACTGCCCCTTGGAGCCTCCTGAGGGAGACTGAGTCAGGAAGCACTTGCCCAAAGCCATGCAGCATTCAGAGGCATTCTAGATTGACAAGCCTCCCTTCTCATGGAGGTGGGTGGGGCCGCATAGTGATTATGCTTAGAGACTGGGGTGGGGGTGGGGGAGAAATGCAGACAGATGGACTGTTAAGAACAGAACACAAAACCTTGGAGGAAGAGTTATTTTCCAAATTTTGTGCTCTTACCAGGGCCCAGTGCAACAACACCAGTCCCAGAACCCTTTTCCTCCAGGTGACTGGATGGGAGGGAAGGGAAGCAGCTGGACTATTCTGGATGCACCGCTACACTCCTGCACACCCATGAGATCTCTCTGAGGTTCTCTAAAACACCGCTGGCCAAAGAGGCCGGGGTCCGTCTTGCAAAGCTAATGGAATGCAGCAGTCACCGCAGCAAGATCAGAACACTGGGTCAAACCCCAGCATTCAGAACTTGTCAGCTGTGATCCTTTGCCAATCAAACCTAGGTCTAGCATGCCTGCCCAAAATATAAACATCCTTCATATAAATGACCTAATTCTTTAGTTTATGATGATGTATATACTTATTCTTGTCAGAGTGTTTTCATAATCCAGCATCCCAGTAGGGCCTCAAGGCATGTCTTCCTGCCCGATAGAGAGAACAAGGCCTACAGAGTGGAAGAAACCTGCCAATAGCCGATAGCCCCAGTGAGTGAGCGGCAGGGCTAGGGTGAGGACCCAGGCAGCCCTACTCCAGCAATGCAACTTCTCTACCTCAGCTCACTATTTCCCTTGATGGACACTCCCTCCCAGGTGGTCACCTGAATGGCGCTCAGTTGGGCCATGAACTGGCCTGAGGTGCTGGGATGGAAAATGCCCTGGGCCTGGGGAGGAAAAGGAGATGTATTTCCCCTGGCTTAGTGGCCGTGAAATGCAGACACCCCTCACCCGCAACCCGCCACCGCCTCCTGTTCCGTACATCAAGTCCCTTCCTTTTGCCTTTATTTGCTCTGGAGATGGCTGAAAACCCATCCTTGCCTGCCAGCGGGACCTGAAGCTGAGGTCACTTCTCTCTCTTTGGAAAGACTCTAGGGATGGAAAAGTACAACCAGCCCCCCGCTTCATCTCCCTCAAAACCTAAAGGGACTCCTTCGGGCTCTCCCTGGACATTGAAAAGTCACTGAATGTCAGAACCAGAGGACATCTCAGAATCAGAATTTTAGACTGTGGGTCTTAGAATCATAGACTCTTAGAATGTGAAGCACAGAATCTGAGTTGCAATTATTAAAGCTGATTTGAGTGGAAAGAGTTTATGGAGCCACACAATCCAATAGAACTTTCTGAGATGATGAAAATATTCTCTATCTGCAATGTCCAATACGGTAGTTACTGGCCACATGTGGTTATTGAACACTTGAAATGTTGCCAGTCCAGTGCAAATGAAGAATTGAGTTTTTAATTGTATTTCATTTTAATTAATTTAAATCTAAACAGCCACATGTGGCTAGTGGTTACCATAGTGGACAGAGTGGTTATAAACTTTCACAGAGGCAGGATAGCATAAAGGTAAGCTCATGGGCTCTGGAGCCAGGTTGAAACCCTGGTTCTACCACTTTGCAATTGTGTGATCCTCAGAAATCAACTTTACCTCTTTGGGCCTCAATTCATTACCCCATCTGTAAAAATGGAAATAACAACATACCTCACCAGAGAAAACAAATAAAGAAGTAGCAATGTAGTCATTTGGAAGGGCGTCTTAAGATCCGAGGATCCCAGAATCTCCATCCCACTCAAGAATCCAGTGTAAGAATCCCAGCTGTTTGTCGGCCCAGGGAGAAAAGGGTGTTGGGGTGGAACAAAGGCGATATTACCCCTGTTGGTCTGGGGACACCAGCCCAGCCTCCAGAGGGCACAGTGACGAAGGCCAGGCTCCATCTGGCCTCTTAGTTGAGCTGCTGACACAAGCCAAGCATCTTACTCCCACTGTTTGGCTTGGAAACAAGGGTTCCAAAAACACATATTGCTGGTAAACAAGCTCAAAGAGAGGAAAACAAGACTGGAGGCTAATAAAGCCAGGCCCTCCAGGGAGCAGGGACTCAGAACCAGGGAGGGTGGGCTCCACTGAGGTGGGGGCTGAGCCAGGCCATAGAGGCAGCACTGCGGCCCATGTGGCCACATGGCACTCTGCTCATGCCCAGGAAGCAGACACAGCCACTCGGAGGTGGCCTCATGACGTGGAAGTCAGGAGTCCCAAGATCAAGTCCTGGGAGCAAGTCGACATTGCTCCCAGCTCATGGAGCAAACTCTGCTCTCTGGACCTTACCTACCCAGCCCGTCTGTACAATGAGGAGGTTGTTTTAGATCAATGCTGTTTAAAATTATGTAAGCCAGGGAATCCCTTCTTTCAATGAAGTCTTCTGCAGAAGTCTAATATTTCAAACAGCTGAAACCTTTTAACATTTGTGGAAACATGTTATGGTATTATTATCTATTCAATAAGAAAGCTTGAAATTAAAAAAAAAAAAGCAGGTAAAAATGGAGTGGAAATGGAGGCTGGGAGACCTATATACACAGACATCTCCTCAGACAACCTTGGAGCATCAGGTTCTCCTAGGAACACAGTTGGAAACCCTTGAGCAAGGTGGTCCCTAAGATTCCTTTCAGCTCTGACTTTCTGAGTCAACTCAGGCAGAAGATTTTTAG